GGAAGGATGGAAGGCTGAGTCAACCCTGAGCCGGTGAGATTTGAATAGCCGAACTGCAGAATTGCAGTCAGCTGAAGTAGCCTGCAGTGCTGCATTTAACCACCGTGCCACCTCGGCTCTTGACATGGGGCTGGGTGATTTGTGGGATCGGTTGTATCTATCTGTCCCACTAAGTCTGTGACAGGAGGGCCACATTCCACATCCCTTCAGTTAAAAAATAAAAGTCATCTTATGGGATTCACAAGTGTACCTTTTCTGATATGACAACTACCCTCTGGAACATATCAGATAGGCTTCCTGACTCTTTTCATAAACCACTGGATGTTTTTCCAGGGTTGGGAGTCAGGGTTTAGTTGGCCTGTTGAGATGTTTATGCTGTTTGTTTTGGAGGCTTCATTTTCAAAGGCCACCATTTATTTATTTTTATTCTTTTCTAATATTGGTTTTTTAAAATTGTTTCAATGTATTGATAACCATCCAGAACTGAGAGATGGGCAGTCATATACTGGGCACCGTTTGAAATAGATAAATAAATATATAATATCCTCTCTTCGGTATATACTGTAGCTTTGGTAAAAGTTTGCCTTTCTATCTTCATCTACTCCCTAATACTTGAAATGTAACAAACGTTTGTTAATATTTATAAAGAGCTAGCTCATACTTTAGTGGGAAGCGGTGGCTCAGTGGCTAAGATGCTGAGCTTGTCGATCAGAAGGTCGGCAGTTCAGCAGTTCGAATCTCTAGTGTGGCGTAACAGAGTAAGCTCTCGTTACTTGTCACAGCTTCTGCCAACCTAGCAGTTTGAAAGCATGTAAAAACGCAAGTAGAAAAATAGGGACCACTTTGGTGGGAAGGTAATAGCGCTCCGTGCGCCTTCGGCGTTTAGTCATGCCAGTCACATGACTATGGAAACGTCTTTGGATAACGCTGGCTCTTTGACTTTGAAACGGAGATGAGCACTGCCATTAGAGCCGGAAATGACTAGCACATATCTGCGGGGGAACCTTTACCCTTACCTTTAAGCTCATACTTTCTATCCAAGGAAACTAGGAAGAGCTGTTTATTCTTTTTTTTTAATGGGTAGTACTTCTGTTTTACTCAGCGGTTCCACCACAAATGCGTGCACAACAAAAGCGTGCCTGACTAAACCGCGGTGTCTAAAGCGCGGTGACAAAACCGCGCGACGAATGAGCGACTAATTAGCCCTAAAGCGCACCGACAAAAGCGCGCCGACAGAAGCACGCTGTAACGTAACCCTAAACCTAACCCTAACCCTAAACCTAACCCTAACCCTAAACCTAACCCTACACCTAACCCTAAACCTAACCCTAAACCTAACCCT